TTTATCTCCAAGTTTCTTGTCTTCATACCAAATACCATTGTTTATACCTAAAATGGAATAGGAAAATTTAATAGGAGGAATAAATAATGTAAATTATTAATTAATATATAAATATATGAGTTACCTTCAATATTTTGAGTCACTTTAAATAAAGTGACTTACATTTATAATGAGAAGGACATTTAGAAAGATACAATCTTATATCGTAATTTGGACCATTAACACCAGATGGATCTTTTGGAAAAAAAAATAACATGAGATGTCTGCCTTCCTTCAATACCACCTTGATCATTTTTCATTTGATACTTTTTTAGGATAAAACCATCTTCTGTATCCTCAAATTGTAAAATAACCAAAGAATGATGTTCACCACCTCTGGCACAACCAAGTAAACATATCCACATAAAAATACGATAAAGTAAACCAGCTGGATTATTTGGAGAGCAAACATTGTGATTTAATATTAATTTAACTTCATCACTAGTTAAAGCATCATATGGTCTAGCTTCGCCTATGCCTTGTTTTTTCATTAACTTCAGTTGTCCATCTAAAATCCCATTTAATTTTGGAAAATGCTCTTTTTTGCATAAATTGTAGTTCCAATCTTTTTTGACATTTGTGAGGCATTGACTAATTCCAAAAAACAAGATTCTTAAACAATGGTCTAGAATATAGTAGATTTTTTTTTTTGGTTCTAGCGCCCACAATAAATTCACTTGCTCCTTCTTTGGTTTTATCTTTATCATCTAAAGATTCAAGTAAATACTAATTACTTCACGCCAGTCATTTAAAAATCTCGCACATTTGTCTGTTTTTGCAAAGTATTTGAGTTCCTCTCAAAATGTTCAGGAATGGACTAGTTTAAAACAAATAGTATTCGTGCACGGAATTATGCAAATTAATAAATGTATATTTGCAAGCAGAAACAATTAAGGAACAAATATTTTGAAGTAGACCCGTTACATTTTATTTTATTAGTTAAAAAGAGAAAAAAAATGCGAAAAT